GGAGCCGCTGCACCGCCACCGCCCGCAGCTCTCGGGGGCCACCGAGAGTCCTTCTGCTCGAGAGGAGGAGGAAAAAGGAAAGAAAAGAAAAGGAAAAGCCCCAAACCCAGACGTCAAGGAGCCTCAGCGCCGGAGGACGAGCTCTCCTCTCCCAAAGCTGCTGCAAAAGCCCTTGGTGCCATCGGGGCCGTGGGGCAGGCGAAGCAGCGCATCCCGCAGGTCGAGGGGCTCAGGCACCCGTTTCGCTGCCGGGACATTGCCGGCAAGAGGTTTGGCATCTGGAGAGGGGCTGGTGGGCCAGGGCGCCCAGGCACCCGCCCCGCTCCCCCAGCCGCGCCCGCGGGGGGTCTCGGGGCTGGAGCAGAGGCCGTAGCGGTCGGCCGTGCCCAAGCCTGTCCCGAGCGGAGGGAAGACTTTCCTGGTGAGGAGCGATCCGGTGAAGGTGTTGCCGAAATCGCCAGGCTTGAAGTCGCTGCCGGGCCAGGAGGGTGCCGAGGGGTCCTTGCACAGGAGGAGGGGTGACAACGCCTGGGCGCCTTTTGACTCCGGGGAGCTGCAGAGCAGGGAGTCCCCGAGGCCGTAGGGGAGCGTCGCGGCCACCGCCTGCGTTTTCCAACCCGGCTGGTCCGCCGGCTTCTCTGCCGCCTTCCTCTCAACCCCGGGTTTCTTCTTGGAGCCCTTCCCGCAGAGCCGGACCACCCTGATGCTCTCGCCACCCAGGCGGCTCTGGCGGCCGAGGTCCTCAAAGGCGCTGCGGGCGCTCTCCAGGCTCTCGTACTCCACCAGCGCACAGCACTTGCTCAGCAGCTCCGGGAAGCGCGACGTGTATTTCCGCACATCCGAAGGCAGCTTGCGGCCCGGCCGCAGGATGCGGATGGAGGCAATGGCTCCGAAGGGGCTGAACATCCTCGTGATGGTCTCCAGGAAATTCTTCTGGAGCGGCAGCAGCACGTCCTGCTCCGGGGGCAGCAACTCCCAGGCCAGCAGCAGTTTGCTAGGGGGGATGCTCAGCAGGGATTCGGGGATGGGGACCCGCCGCCTCACTTTGGTGCCCTCCTCGTTCACCTCCAGCAGCTCCGAGAACTGCAGGGCGTAGAGCGTCAGCCGCCAGTCACGCGTCAGGTATTTCACCTGCGAGAGAGAGGGGTGAAACCGCGTCACTGGGAGCCTCCCTCAGGCAGGGACCACCCTAAACCCATCATCCAGGCAGGCTGCAACCCCATCAACCTGAGGTCATGGCAAGGCAATATCCCTCTTTCACGTGAGCATCTTCAGGATTTGCAGGAGAAGGCCGCCTGTGCTCCTGGACCATGGCAAGAAGACACAGCTTCCCTGTACATCACACCACCAGTGCTTCCCTGCAGTTTTTTAGTTAAGGCATGATCTCTCCCAGAGCAGCCTGGGGGAACCACGGGCAGAAGAGGTGAACCCAGCCCTGGGCTTGGGGTTTGAGGACCCCTCACCGCTTCCCCAGCCACCCTCCCTGGGTGGAGAACTGCCGCAGCCCATGGAAGGCAGAGAGCAGGGCCCAGCTCTGCACCACCAGCGCTTTGCTTTGCGGGGACACAGACAGCCTGAGCAGAGCCTGGACCTCCCCGTCCACCTCACCGCAGACAGCCAGAGCACACCCAGACACCCAGGCACCCTCCACATGAAGGCCACTTCCCACCCCGGCTGGCCAATGCAACGGGCTGCCTACCTTCTTGAAAGACGTCAGCAGTTTGATGCTGACGAAACCCATCTTGTTCTTCTGGACGTGTTTCAGGAGGAAAGCATCCTTGGCCAGATTCTCATCAGAGAGGTAGTATTCCACCTGGGACACAATCCTCCTGACCAGCTGCGGGTCGGGGACGCAGTAGTCGCGGTCCAAGAGATCAGCCCCCAAAACATCGCTCGCAGCGCAGAAGCTCCTGGCAAAGCAGCGGGGACACAGGTGTGCTAGACCATGAAACCAAACCCATCCCAAAAGATGTATTCCCTTGGGGACAAACATGAGGGAAGACCAGGGCTCACCCCCCACACACATATCCCAGCAGCCACGTACCCACTGAAGCTCTTGAAGTCCTCCTGGCTGAGCAGGGCAAACGGGCGGCTCCGTGGCGAAAACAGTTGCAGTGCCGGGAAGGAATTTTTTTGCACAGGCAGAGGTGTGCTGCAGCTGGGCTGGGAACTGAGCCCCAAGGCCACCCCAGAGCTACGTGATGACATGGTCCTTCATCTGGGATGTTACATAGGAAAAGGACAGCGCTGGGACACCTCCTGGTTGCAGCCAGCCCCAGGGCAGAGCCCAGCTCTGGGCTGCAGCCCCCAAGCCCAGCCCAGGGATGGGGGAGCGGAGGCAACTCATTGCTGTGCCCTTACCTGCTTGGCAGTGTTGGAAAAGGTAGAAAATCCCAGCACTACCTCCTGGAGACCTGCAGGCAGCAGGTCCCAACCCTCCCCAGCCTCCAAACTAGGGCTCCTAAACGGCAAACAGAAAAGAAAAAAAGAAAAAAAAAAAAAGGAAGAAAAAGCCCTTAAGGTGAGTAGGCTGCTGGTTTATAAGAGCAGGCACCTAAAATGAGCCCCAGTGGGTGGTTATGGACCTGCCCCCTGCAAGACCCAGCAGGCTCCAGGTGAAACCTGTCTGCAGGTTAAATGGTCCCAGCTGAGCCCTGGGAGCAGCCGGGCTCCTCCTGCTCTGACTGCTCAGCCGGGCAGAGGAGGAGCAGAAGCAGCAGTACTGGTACCAGTACCAGTACTCTGGGGTACCCAGCGAGCCAGTGAACTTCTGCCATGAGGCATCTTGGTCTGTGCCTCAGTTTCTCTGTGTCTTGCACAGGGACAGTAACACTCACGTGGAGGTGGAGGGAGGGTTCGGTCCGGGGCACCGTTTGGGCGCCTGGTGCTGCCAGATTGACAGGCAAAGGTCCTTCTTCCTGCAGAAATACCCCCCACCCCAACGAGAGGCAGCAGAAGAGCCCCAAGAAGGGGGTGAAGCCCAGGGATGGGCACGGGAGGGGGTGATGCTGCGGGGCAGGCCAGTCCGTACCTTCAGTACAAGATGGGGAAGGAGGTCCGGGATGAAACTCATCCCCGTTGCTCGAACCCCGCGTTGGCAGCAGCGGGGGGCTAGGGCAGGCAGGGGCGGCTCTGCTGGGCGAGGGGCGATGCCAGGGCATGGGAAGGGGCACGGAGGGTGCCGTGATCCAGAGGTGCTGTCTGGAGGGATCAGTCCTGGGAGCCTGACCCGGCTGATCCTCAGTCTGTCTGTCCAGGCATGGGGTTTAGCTGATGTTTCTCTGCGCCCTGTGGCCACAAGGACCGGCCAAGGGCTCATCACACGTCCACCTTGGGGCCTCGAAACAACCTGTCACCAGACCGGCAGCATCTCCCACACGGGCAGGCCGGTCCCTGGCTGCGGCACTGCAGTCTCCCCTGCCCGACCACCTTGTCCCAGTCACGCAGGGCCGCTGCCGATGAATCCCTGGGCTGTGCCGCAGCGTCCGGCTGAAAGCTCATCCTTCTGGGACGAGTCACAGGGACTAGCAATGCCAAACCGCTTCGGTTTCCCTGGGGTTGGTGCAGTTGGTGGTCACCCCCCCCACCTCCACCTCCCCTGCCACCTCCCCACTTTCTCTGCCAATTGGGGGCTGCAGGGTGGTCAGACAGTGGGGGCAAGAGAAAATCCTGGGATGAGAGAAGTGGCCAAGAGCCACCCAGCAGGGGAACTGGGAACAGCCGTGATCCCTGAAGGGTGGTGGCACTTGGTGGCAGGTGACGAGGACACACTTCACCTGAATTTGTGGTGGGAGGCAGATCCACTGCCAGTCAGGACACCACGGGGCGTCCTTCGCTGGGCTCCCATCGCCTGAGCCCGGCAGATCCCCAGCATGCCAGGCCAGCCCCGTGCCGAAATCTCTGCAGGGATTTGCCCATCTAGAAGAGGCGATGGAGCCAGAGGCAAACTGAAGGTGGGAGCGTGTTTTGCTTTCTACTTGCAGCTGGGTATGCTCAGGGTCAGGAGGAGCTGCTCACCTCCCCGCGGGAAATAACCCCCTTGTTCCAGCCCTCAGACTCCGTATCCGAAGGGAGAGGCTCAGGCTGGTCCAGCCATCCCCACAAGATGGGGCATAATCCAGAGGGAGAGTGAAGGAAGCAAGGACGCAGGGGGAGAGAGGCTGAGGCTAAACCTTCCCCTTCCCAAGGGGTCAGAGCAGGAATGATCTGTCACTCATCACATCCCTGTCTCACTGCTTCCATCCTCCACAATTGGTCCGGAAGTGTAATTAGAAAATGCTTCTTATGGCTCTGTGCTTAGCAGCAGCCTGATCTTTCAGCCTCTTCTCCCCTCTGTGAACTCTGGTGTAATGGGAGTATTACCCCGACAAACTGGCCGCTGTTGTGTGGTGAATGTGCCATCCCACAGACAGTGGATCCCTGGCCAAAATTGCTTTAATTAGACTGCACTGGGCAGATCCTGCATCTCCCCCTGACGCTGCAAGGCTGCAGCATCTGCCTGACATCTCCTTTCAATGATTAAAGAAGAAATGGGACCACAACAATTATTGTACAGGCCTGAGCATTTGATATATATTTATTGCTATTCAGGTTTAGCTGGGAATTTTGTGCATATCGGGTTTAGGTGGTTATCCAGACTCCTTGCACAGTGCTGCAGAGCTCCAGAGCATCTCGTTTGCACGTCCGTGGTAAGCAGAAGGTGGCTGGGTTCCGTCGGTAGCGGCTGCAAAGAAGAGCCAATGTACCAGCTGAAGTTAATATCACACTCAATGGGAGCAGGGGAGTTTAAGACTTGGTTGCTCAGTTGTTTTTTTAGACCATCTTATCTCATCAGCAGGATCTGAAGTGCAGACTCTGACCCAGGGAGTATTCATTGTTGTTATTTACACATAAATCCAGCTTTCTCACTTGTCTCCTGCTACTTCGATATGAGACATTTACAGACAAACATCATCCTGACAGACAACAGTACGGGACAGTAAGAGGGAAAGATGTGCCACTATACACACTTTCTTTTTACTTTCCATTAGCAATATTTTTTAAAGTGTCACAGCTACCTTAGTACCATTTGGAATGAGTAAATGATATATTTGGATAGAATATACTCTGATATGGAAATGTACACAAGACCCCTGGAAAAGCTCACATCAAATACTGTATCATTAGAAATAATAATAGTAAAAGCTATTTATGACACGGCCTTTATTCACACAAAGATTTGCCCCGGGGCTTTGTTTTTGCAGTTTGGCTTGATGACAGATTCCACCCCCCCTCCTCTGCCCTGCAGTCCACGTCAGCCCAGACCCCACAGGACACAGAAAGAGAGAATAAAACCCCGCTGGGGCAGAAACTCTCCCAGCTCAGCCCCAGGGGAGCCACCGCCACAAGGATGCCGCAGGAAAAGGCGAAGCGATACAGCAAGGGAAAATGCCACCGTAGTGTTGAGCAAACCCGGGGCCCATGACAGCCCCTCGCTGCTACATGGGATGGGTTGTTTTTATCAGGGTCTGAGCTGCGCCGGCTCGCCCGGAGCAGGGAGGGGGAAGCAGGCACACTGGCCCACCCTAAGGCACTGCAATCACACACCCTCTCCCATGCTCCAGACGCAGCCCCGCAGGCAGCTGCACCCTACCTTCAATGTTTTAGCAGGACATCAAGCGAGAATTTTACAAAACCCAGGATGTGGGAGGAGTTCCCCTCTGCCCGGGTACCCTGGCGAGGATGGGGATTGCCCGTGGGATTGCCCGTGGGCTTCAGAGCGTAGGGGGCAATGAACACACTTTGCGACCAGCTGCCACTTCCTCAGAGTCCTTTGGTATCTTGAGTTGGCCTGACAGTGTCCCAGGAGCATTTGCGGATCAGCGATGGAATGCCAAGCTGGGGAGACACGGGAGCAGGTGGGAATGCTTGTCCTATCGTCCCAGAGCATGTATGTATCAGTCCCAGAGCACATATGTGTCAGTCCCAGAGCATGCATGTGCATTGCTCCGCCGGGACGAGATGGATGTGCAGCCTGGAGCCCTCTCCCCAGGCGGGTACAAGAGAGACGTACTGTCCTGTGCTCCCCGAACGAATGATTTGGCAAAGTCAGAGCCAGGACAGCTTGTCTTGAAAGGCTGGAGGAGAAGGGTCAGGTATTTTTCCTTCTTCTTGGGCACTGATTGGTTCAAGTTTGTATCACAGTGAAGTCTGAGAAGTGGGGAAGAAACCCAAACCACCTTCCCTGAAAGAGAAAGCCTCGTTTGCCCGCCTCGCTCAGGCTGGAGAGGAGAGCCTCTCCTAGCTAGGCACATCCGATCCGCTGCTGACAACGCAGGCTTCCATCGCTCGGTAGCAGACTTTGGACCTTCGCCCTCCGGCCAGCAGTCATGCTGGAGGAAAAGCAGGCGGCCAAACCAGCCCCATCCCACCACCCACCCGGGCTCAACCCCGGAGCCCATCCTCAAACACAAGTAAACATAAAGAGAAACTAAGAGGCACTAATAATGCAGATATGGGGAGACTCAGGCTTGCGACCGTCAAACCTGGCTCCGGATGTCTTCGTCCAGCTGGCGAAAAGCCGAATCCCCATTTCAGATCTCCTGCAGTGAGTGGCCGGGGTCACTGCGTTCCCGTTTCACCAGTGGCTCCCCCACACGTCGGGAGCCCGTGTCCACCTCGCTGCCCAGGTCACTAATGTCATCTGCAAAGGACAGGTCTCAGCATGAGAGTGGCGACCGGAGGGGAAGAGGTTCTTTTTCCCAAAAGAGCAGGGTGGAAGAGCCAAGCACGAGGTTCCCCCTCCCACAGCGATTCAACCCTGACCCAGCAGGACTTCCCTTGAGGGAGAGGAGGTACCTTTGTCCAGCAGTGTTGGGGACAGGGATGTGAGGTCACCAAACTGAAAGAAAAAGGAGTTACAAGGTAAGTAAGGCTTACTGGAGACCCAAGGTGCCAGACCTGCAAGTTGGCATCTATTTCCAAGCAATTTAACAAGCAGCTTAAGCGCTCAGGAGAAACCACAAGCATCAGCAGTGCTGGTGGTGAAGAGCAGAAAGCAAAACCAACCACATGTTTTGGGGAAAAGTCTGTCTTTGCCATTTAAACCTCTGGGCAAACACCACACGCAACAATCTAGGGCAGGATCGAGCTCTGGAACAAAGGGAGAAATTTTTCCATCTCCCAAGTCACAACCAAGTGCTGCCACAGACCAAAGGGTGGTACCTTTTCTCCAGCCCTCTGCATCCGTCCAGCAACTGCTCAGACATGCCAGCTATTCACCTCTCCTGGGACTCTACCATCACTCCACCTCTCTGCAACCCTCTGCAAAGCCTTTGCATTCACATCAGGAGAATGCTTTGGCTTGCAAGGCCATGGTGCCAAGTGTAACCAGAGAGCTGGGGATATATTTGCTTCTGGAGATGTGTTGTCTCCCTCTATGATGAGGTCTGAAACACTAAATCGCTCTAAAAATAATGCTGGAAAGTCATGCAAAGTTAGGCAGCAGGAGGAACTGAGGAGAGCAGGAGTTATAAAGCGAGCAATAGAAGTGGAAGGACACGATTCATCCTCTTTTGCTGGGAAGAATCAGCCTCCTCCTGGAGAACAGAAATATTGCAAGAGTTTAATGAAGGAAAGGCAAAACCTGGAGGATGAAAGCCTCCCACAGCTAAGTTTTGCTGGAAGCCACTCTCTGCCTTTCGTGTTCCTTTAATATCAATAAAGACAGAGGTTTTGCAGGGAATAGTGGGAAGTCACAGCACTGCTATGTGCAGCAGCATGGGTCTAACTGGATGGGAAGGGAAAGCAAAAGGCATGCAGTTGATTTGTCTGGCTCCCCTACATGAGCTTTGTGGAAGAAAAAAACCCAGCATGAGCTTCAAGGAGCAAATGAGATCAGTTTTAATCTAAGAGTAGTTTCTATATTGCTGTCAGATTGATCAGGGGCTTTTAAATATGTGCATTTCAGAGTGAAAAATCGGATGCAGCAGCTTCAGCTAGGCAGGACAGGACCTGCCTGCAAGCCAGGCACCAGATTTACTGTCTGATTTGTTAACCCCCCCCACCCCCCACCCCCAAACAACACAAACAACCCATCATTTCTCTTCTTCAAGTCAAAAATGGAGAGAGTGGCTGACTGTGCATGTAACTCTGGAGCCTGCAGAGGCCTGAAGAAGTTCAGTGAACAGTATCACTGAAAGTTGCAGGGAAAGTAGCTTTTGGACCTTTTTTTGCTTGGTTTAGTTTTTGTGTTTGATGGGACTTTGCTCTGGCAGGAACCTCAAAGTCAGGTTGGTACCCACAGGTTATGGAGAGAAGTGGGGAGATCATTTTCCTCCCTGCTCCAGGCCTCCAAAGCCCCGCTGATGCTCAACAGCCCCAAAACCCACCAGCTCTGGTATTAACGAGCCAGGATGGAAGATGCTCAAGGAGCTGGATCCTTGTGCCAGGCATCCAAAACAATTCAGTAAATCCTTTGGCAAAGATGGTTATGAAAGCATGTTCAGGACACAGCACGGTTTGTGCTCTTTATGCGCTGCTTAGTTTGGGTTTGTTTCTAGGGAATAAACAATTCTCACCTCTCCCATTACAGCAATTGGTGTCTCCCCTGTTGCCTGGGCAACACGATGCTCTACCAGATAAAACATGTATTCATCATAGAGCAGGCGAATCAGGTGGAAGGAACCAAAGCTGGCAGCACTGCGCAAGGTGAGGTCACGGATCACCATGGAGCTGGAAAATGGCCGGGAAACAAAATATTTGGGTTGTGTTTTACACTTGCATCACAGCTGATGTGAATTCTTGACCCTGAAGGTACTGTGGGACACAGTGCTCTGTTTCTACCTCTAACTCAAGACTATCAAAGCACTTTAAGAAATTAGTTGACGGAGCATCCTATCCCCATCCTGAAAGGATACAGGAGACACAACGCTCCCTTCTGTACCAGGGCAGAGCAACAGTTAACCAGAGTTGCATGGGAGTAAAGAACTCAGCATTGGCTTTTCAAGTGGCTATTTACATGCCCTAAGCCCGATGCAGAACCATCTCCAAAATGAGAAAGAAAATGTACCTATAGAAAGACCATTTTAACAGGAACTGCCTGGCTGCCTTGGGGAAGCTGGGACTGCCCTCGTGATGCTTCAGGACTTGAGTAACAACATTATCCAGCCAACTAGCCCACTGGTCCAGAGAACTCTGCTGCTGCAGAGTGAGCTTGAAATCCTGCTCCAGCTTCTGTACCATGCCTTCCTCGCACTGGCACACCCACGAGGCTTGTTCCTGCTCGGGAAGAACGGTTGACAGTTACTCATGCCAAGCCTGCATGGTTGTTGCATCCCAGCCCAGGAATTAAACTTCATTTCTAGTAGCGAGGACTCCAAACCAGCTCTGAATCATGTCTTCTCCGATCCATCCAGACCACAGTACAATATTATTACTAGAACTATATTATTGTTGGTAGCAGTACTTCTTACAGAAGTTCCTTAGTACCTTCTCCACTACTCACAGTGAGATGGCAAACTTACCTGGGAAAGTAACACCAAAACCGTTAAATTGTTTACTTAATTGCTTTTTAGTATTGGAAATAAGATGCTGGTTACCAGCAGACAGCCTCATTATAGAGTCCCAGTTCTAGACAACATGACCTACAAAAAGATACCCTAAGTTACCTGCACATTGGCAAAGTCGACCCGATTGAGATCACTGAGCATCTGGTTTATCTGGGAAGTGTTCTGCAGCACCGCACGGGCGGCCTGAGCCAGGTGGTTCAGGGACGTGTACCTCCGTAACGTCTGCGCAAAGGCACTCACTACCCCGACCTGCAAGACAGCACACAGGGCACTGCGAGCACGGAGCTGAAGCCATGGAGCTCGAAACCAAACTCTTCTCAACGCTGAGCTCAAGCACACAGCACACATCAGCTGGGGTAACCTGCACAGTCCCACCCACGCTGCTGTCCAAAGCATACACGAACGCTCCAGAGCAGCACTTTCGCAGCATCTATTGCATCTTGCAAACCAGCCTCTGCATTTCTGTTCTTTAAACTAACAGGTTTTCACATTCTGCCTCCAGCAGAGACCAGCAAGGTGATAACAGGCTGCAAGAATCCATGGCTTTAGGAGAGGGGAAGTAGGAGCCTTAGGTTTGGTCTCTGCAATGCCATTCAGTCCATAAGGTGTCCTGTGCTTTCTAGCAGGACAGCCTCATTCCAGTGCAGAGATTTTCTTCCACAAAGCTATATCTGCAATTTTGGGACATACGACAGAGCATCATCAGCTTCTGGTACAAAGGAATTGCCCTACCTGTCCTCCCACTCCTTGCTAATTTTGGTTCATAATTATTCATTACACCAGTCTGGAGTACACGTGGCCAAACGCCAGCAGTGATTTCCAGTCACTGTGGAAAACTGCAACATGCACACACACACTCAGTTCATATCCCTGACCTGCACCGTGCTCCTTCTGCTTACCTTGGTCTGGACAACCTGTGGGGGAAATTCACTCATTGCGTTCATCAGCCACCCTTCCAAACTCTTGGCAAAATTACGAATCGCCTGTGTAAGTGTGCCTGCAAAGAAGTCTGCAGTTAGAAAGGCAGTTCTGTATCATCTTTGGACACCACTTGCTAGCTTAGGACTGCTGTGGAAAGCACATCCTCTGAGCTGGTTAGGTGTGATCTCGATTTAGCATCAAGGAAATCAACTGGGTCCTGAGATGCACTCAAATTTTTCTTATTCTCTAACGTTGTTACTCAAACTTTTCTTCTTATTCTTATTCCTATTCATATTTGTATTCGTATTCGTATTCTTACTCTTTCTTATCCTTTTCTTATTCATGGCGCTTCTGAGCATTTTCCAAATGTTGAAATAAACTCTTTAAAAACACACACGTGCCACAGCATGTGGACTGACAACAGGAGCTCAAAGGGACATGGCTTTCCAGTACTGCTCAGCCCACTCTAGGGCTGAGTTGAGGCCTTGAGGAGACCAACACATGCACTTCACTGAGGAGCCAAATCAGAGAGAAAACCCTCAATATCCCATCATCTCATCTCCCAAATGAAAGCTGACCCCAAATTTCCAGGAGATGCAGTAGTGGACATGACGGTCCTACATAAACAAAGATACTATCTCCAAGGAAACATCTCACAAGGATTAGCCACGCTTACTTGTGCATTAAGCCTATGCTTTTACTCCAACTCCTAGCCAAAGTCAGGATATGTGATATGCAATAAACCAAATTTTAAAAGGCATGGTAATTTCCAGGGGCCACAAAGTACAGTTGACGCAGAGCAATGCTGCAGGAGCAATATTGCTGTTGCCATAATATTTTAGCTTGTATGCAAAACAAAAACCTCTAAATCAGCTTCTACAATGGAAATCTTCAGGGCAAGTGGTAGCCAGACTGAGTGAGTCATGGATCGCTCTTTGTCAGACCCAACACCCCATGACTCAGCCGAGCGAGGAGCAGGAGCTGAGCAGGAGCGGAGACCACCCGTGACCTCCCGACCACGCTGCAGGATACTCACTGGGCACTGGTCTGAGCACATCTGGGATGAGAATCTCCACCAGGGCCTGGTACAAGATGTGATCGCAGCTTCTCATCCATTTGAGGATGGGTTCGTATTTGCACAGAGTGATCAGCTTATCTTTCGGGAGGGTCCCTTCGTGTTCTTCTTCACTGCAGGAGATGGAGGAGGGAGGCAGCGTTAGCAGCAGGTTTGCATTCAGTGCATTCACCCTTCCTCTCAATTTCTAATCCCAGTTTTCAGCAGAAAAAAGCCATTCATGTTTCTTTTAAAAGGAAATGTCTGATCGTTTGTACAAGTCGTCTTTGACTCTGCAGGCTCCTCTCCATCCATGGGTCAGAGCTCTGACCACAGTTTTCCCTCAAATCCACACCTCCCTGTGCTTGGCCTTCGCTTCTTCTGTCTTTAGCCTCAGTTCCTTTCACACACTCATGTTCACGTGTACCTCGGAATTGTACTTCAGTACAGCCATTTCAGCAAGCAAAGGCTTAGCTGGTTCCTCTTTACAGACCCAGCTATTTCCAAAACCTCCACACCTCTCCCCTGTGCTCTAAACCTCCTCAACTGTAGCAGTGGAGACAAAAAGTTTGCAGCAAATGTCATTGGAGCAGATAAGTCAGTATCGATAGATACTACAAATGGTTTCAAGGTGTTTAACATCTTCAAATGCTGAATGTTTTCAGAAGGAAAAAGATTTGGTGTTTTGATGAGAACAAAGCATATTGTCTCTAACTGAGTGAGATCAAGCTTGCATTATTTTCGCTTTATAGATATATGGAAACTTCTTCTGCATGATTAAGGCATAAGATATCTGGTTAAACAGCAAGCAGAGAAAACCAAACCCTTAATGCACTGCCAAAGCATCAAAGCAGAGCTGCTCAGACACAATGCTGGGAATTGGGAATTTGGAAGGGAATTGCCCCATGCGTTACATCAAAATCATTAAAGCCAAGCCTTGGACGTACTATAAAGAGGTACTTAGAGCCTCTGCCTGAGCAGTTTTAGTAAATGAACTCCACAGGCATACTCCTAGAACACTCACATAGAAAAACTGGCCATCAAGTACCTAAACTTTCAGTTAAGTGGAACCATATTCTGCATTTTATCATGCTTTCAAACAGTTTGCCACTTTGATAATATTTTGGATTTATATTTGTATATATATATATAAAGCAGGGGGAGGGAGTGCTTTATTTACTTATCTTGATTATTAACAGTGGTATGGAGAGGTACTAGAGCACATAGCCTTAGCAAGATATGCTAGATTAGACAGAGGCCTGCAGAAACACTGCCTCCAAGTATCCAAGTGAGCCTGTTTGTACCTAGCACAGCTCGCTCGGTGGTTTTGCAATATGCCTTGGAGATATACCCTTAAGTAAAAGAGATTTTGAAACAATCAAACACAGCTACAGTGATTCTTTGCGGGAAAATATCCATTGGGTAACATCTACTGAGGACAACAGAGCTATTCTACAGGTTATTATGGGCTATTTGCTTATTACTCAAACTTTTACCATTTTTCTTCTGAATGTAAAACATCCATATCGGAAGTCCTTATATTATCAGTAGAGTGGACAATACAGACTTTTAATGCAAATTTTAAGAAGAAACCTTCATCTTTTCTACTTTCTCTATTTTGACTTATTTCCATTCCCCTGTCTCTTGGCAGCAGCCTCCCAACGCATAAAGGATGAAGAAAAGGCAATAACGACGAGCCAGGCAGGAGTACAAAGATCAAAGTAGCTTCATTTGCCATATCTGCCTCAAAACACGAGGCACTTAAAGATCTGGATAGCCAGCCAAAGAAGTGAGTCAGTCTAGATGTCACCAAAACCTCAGAGCCTGAGATGCCACTGGAGACCGATACCTAATGGCACAAAATCATTACTGTCTGCTCCTGATGACGAAAGCAGCATCCCGTTCTCACTCCTCTCTGCATTCTGGATTAGCACTGGTTGCGGGAGGTATAGGGCGCATAGATGTACATAATCAAAGCAGATGCTTTCCTTGGAGGTCTGAACTTTGTGCAGTCATTATGATATTAAACACTTTTGACACTCTTTGTAATGATTCTGCAGGGAAGTAAATACTTTCAAGTCCTACAAAGCACTCAAAATGCCTAGTGAAGCTGAAAATACTTCATGCATTTTTAAAACTAAAAATACCACCAAACAATGGAGCATTCAGAAATAATCAAAGCACAGCAGCGCATACCTGGATGGCAGGGCAGTAGAGCCATCACTAGATGGTGTTTTAGGACTCCAGAAGGATTGCCACAGTTTCTCAATATAATGAAATTGAAGATTCATTACAACATCCAAAGTTGCCTAACAACAAAGAACACAACTCATTAGCTGCTCTGCTAGCATCTTGTTGCACAGTGTAAGCATAAATTTCATGTGCTCCCATTTAGATTAAATTATTTACAAGAAAAATAACGGAAAGGACATTGTTTTAATAATCAACATAACATAAAACAGGTCACAAAATGAAAAAATAACATAAAACACAATATTTGAGTTATAATACCCAGCAAATCAAGCATTTCCTATTATATTCTAGCTTTTCCTAAGAGCAGGATATGAGACGAGCACATGGGTTATGTCCCACATCGGTTAATAACTAAATTAAAAATATTCCAAATAATCACCTCGCAGTGTCGCCTGTAAAGAAGCTGCAGAGTTTTCACATCATTCATGGTGACCCCTTCTTGTAAGAGGACGTTACCTAGACGAGGGGCTGGGAACTCGGGAAAGACATGGGTTACATCTAGGGAAAAAAAGATTGGGAAAGATGGTAAGAGTTAGGAGCACTCAATTACACAGGACTACAGATGAGTGCAAGGTGCTGCTGTCGCTGGTGGCTATCTTTCATGTTTCAATTGGGATGAAACAGGAGAAATTAGACCAATAATCTAGTTCTTTCCCAATTCATGCTGCTATACTGTGCAAAAAGCGAACAACCGCAGCCCATTTTATTCAGTGTGGAAAGGAAAATGTTTTCTTTCTCTCTGTAATAAAAGAAACATGAATACATTGTCCTCATCTACTGTGCTTCCCATTAGATTTTCTCCGAAGCCTGAAAAATGTCTCTCTGTTATTTTGAGAAATGGAAAATATAATTCGACAGCAGACATATCAGGAGCAATTGTAAATTGTATTTCAAGAAGGCTCAGAGCTGGCCGGGATTTGGTATCTGCTTAAATGATGGAGACACATAGATCCATGACCAGCAAAGCCAGAGAGCTTCTCTCACGAGGAGAAGGTCCGTATGTATTGTCTGCAGTCAGACACATATTGCAGCCTTTGCAATGAAGAGAATTGCTCTTCTCCCTCCGGCTGCCTGTCTTGGCAAGGCTCTTCGCGACCTCCACTCCTTCCATCCAATTTGGATGAAACCAGATGGATTAAATACATACTAGGAGGGAACCAAAAGACCTGGTGGTACAAGGAAAAAGCCTTCCTGTGGGTACAGGAGTTAGCAAATAAACTTAGCAAGTGTGACGTTACAAGCGTTTATTAGAATATATACTATATATAAAATACATATATCTTATATGTATAATGCAAACAAATGCAGAACAGCCAGGGCTTGCTGGACAAGACCTTCCTTCCTCTTAAAGTTATAAGCCTAGACATGAGATATCTAATACATTAAAGCAGTCTCCTCACCTATGAATTGCAGATGATGTTGACTCTGAGCAGCAACCGATTGCTCTGGCGTAGTGTGCGGGTTACTATTGGACCCGCTCTCTGCCATGCCATCCATCTTCTGCGCTGGTCTATACCTAAATTTAGAACGTGGCTTGGGATTTACACAGACATGAGCAAACATGTACATGGTATTTGCAACATAGTCATGCAGACTTTTGCGTTCATCAGGTAATACATTCAAGGCCAGCCTTGTGAGGGCTGACCATTTATATCACCTACTTAACTGGAGGGTGAAAATGAGAACTCCCTTTTGAAAAGCACTCCCCAAGACAGAATTAAAGGGGTTAAGATGTTTGCCCAAGGTGACACCAAAAAAAGTAGAAAATGAGAAGCAGAGCTGGAGTGGGTGCCAGAGTGCAGACTCTCAGTCTCAGGAGCTGACTTTGGCATTTACTTTCTGTTTCGGAGCTGAAGAAATAAATTCTTCTGCTCCTTCTTCACTCCAGCAAGAATCAGAAGTGTCCATGCTTCCTGGAGACAATTCCAAATTCCTTTGCACATTGTTTTTTATATTCAAAATTACTCAGACACAAGACTAACCACAGCACTATTTAACTTGCACTGTTGCACAACAAAAAACTCAAACAAAACCCAAAACCCACCCAAGCACAACACAAGCCCCCAAGTCCTTTACACTGATTTGGCACAAATAACGCCATAGCTGAGGTCCTAGAACAGTTCGGTCAGAGGGAGGCAGTGAAAAGTGGCACATATGGTGGCATTGTCTGTAGCAGCGGGCTGAATCAAGCCACTGGCAAACAGAATAGGTAGATAAACGTCATTTCATAGAATCATAGAACAGTTTGGGTTGGAAGGGACCTTTCAAGGTCATCTAGTCCACCCCCCCCGCAACAAGCAGGGACACCGTCAACTAGAGCAGGTTGCTCAGAGCCCCGTCCAACCTGACCTTGAATGTTTCCAGGGATGGAGCATCGACCAGAATGGGCTTGGGACCCTTCCACTCCTCCGAGCAGCCAGTGACTTGCAGACCCCTCTTCCACAGCTCAGCTCTGGCAGTTCAGCAACACTTGGGTTTGAACTGTCCCAACATGCTCCCTTTGCTTGCACGCCAAGCCGAGTCCCAAGATGGGGTCTGCAGCTTTCTTTGGCAAAGGACCCTTGCCCGCGGCAGCGTCAGGGCACCGCTAGCAAGCTCCAAGATGCTGGGAGCACCTACCTTTGCTTCTGGTGGATGGGCTGCTGCCTCATTGCCATGTACTGTGTGTCCTCCTGCAAGCGGTTCAGTGGAGACTCTGGTTTTAGACGGATCCCGTAATAATGATATTTGGAGTTTCCCCTGGAAGTATCAGCGTTGAAATTGCTCAGTGTAAGCTAGTCAATGGAAGGGACATCGTAGCCCTGCGATTTATTCTTAGGCTTGTTTTGACAATACACCCTACTTCTTACAGCACACGTCAGTTTGCTGCCAAACGCTATTTGAATGGCTGAACTAATGAATGCCATCATCCCCTATAAAATTTAAAACCACATGTCGCAAAGTTCAGTGACATCCACATTTAAAACCCAGCAAGGTTTGTTCCAAGTAACCCATGGTAACTGGAGAAGAAGAGACAAGTGTTACAATACAAAGTGTTATTAAACAGAATGACAGAAAGACCTCAGGGGACGCTTTGCTATTTGATTAGGGTTTAAGGATTTGTTTTTTCCATAAAAACAAACTTCCATCTTTATCTAGACTTGGATAAAACAAGCCTGACTGAATAGTTAACTATGATAAGAAAACATCTTTCTGTTGCCAGCACTTTCACAGCAACGGCAACGGGCTTTGATGTGGTTTTGTTCTTGGAGTTGCTAATTTTTGTAGTTTTTTGTAAAAACTGAAAGCTGTTTTCAAGCAAAAGAGGCTGTAATTCTTTTTCCTTTGCTGGTCAGTAAAGCTGCTGTGATGCTCCTTAGGAGAATGTCTTTCCATCACATTAGACAGATGTGTCAGTTAAAGTTTTTCCACCAAACTGGAATTTTTCAGTCCCCAAGTGTCTACTTTTGGGAACGAGAAGGACAATTACGCAGCCATGGATACATGACAACAGTGTGTCCAACTTGGCTTTAGCCAATTTGTCACTAACAACGGTTGAGCTGAGGCCTCACTGGGAGAGGAGACCGAGCCAGGGGAGCAGCAGCAGAGCCTCCAGAGCCCTTACTGGGGATGCTTAAAATTCATTTGCTGTGTCTGGAGGCACCCTAAATCCAATGATGCTTCCTATTGGAAAATTACATAGAGAAATTTAAGAGAGGAATATTTGGCAAAGAATTAACCCCTTCTTCCTTGTTGGGGAAATTTTGTTTTTTTCAAGGACATGCTTGAATCGTTCAGTCTTTCTCACTGTACTAAAGTGTTTTACATGCACTGAGTGCTCAGGTACAAAGTACGCTTTGGCCATGTCTTAAGTGATTTTAAGTGCCTGCAAATTAAATAACAGCTGCATTTATAATCTAAATGAATGAATAAGAAAATAATGGTGGACAGCTTTTTCCATATTTATTGAGGTTTACTGTGTCCTCCCCAGCCTGCACATTTGCAATTTTAAGTGGTTTTTTTGCTTGTTTGTTTTTTCTTTAATCCTTGATGGGATTAAAGAATTTCTCTCCTCTAAAGAAATTATTTCAGAGCTCTTGCACTTGGACCAATCTACAAAAATCCAAACTCTCCCCAGCTCTTCCTACGACTGTTGCCTCCACATTCCAGCTGTGGAATGCCCCGGACGCATCTGGTTTTGTTCTTGTTTAGAAGCCTAAATATCTAAGCTTGAATTTTATTACAAAATCTTACACAACCAGAACAATCACTGTTTCTCTAGTGCATTAGCTACTTTTTTAAAATTAGAAGCTGGGATAAAATGCAAACTCAGCTGTGTAAGCCATGCAGATACTCTGGATGCTCCCTTGAAGGACACATACGTAATTACAGCAAGTATAATTTCTTATGTTATGCTTTTGTTATAACATCCTATAGATCTTTGATGTTTTAAAACAAAAAATTCTGTCACAAGATTCAGCCTGTCACTTTGGAAATTTAAGAAATAAGCCATTCACATCTGTACAGCTTGTCTGCATCAAAGACGTGGTCACAGGTTGTGTTCTCATCCGTGATGGAGGACCTTTACTGGACCCAAAGGGAGAAACAGTTTCACTGCACCAGAATTTTGGGGTCTGCAGCTGACAGTGGCAATTGTGAAAATTACTTATTTCATCTTTTTGAGACAGTAATGGAATGAGAAGCAGCCTAAGTTCAAATAAAATATTCTTAGACTCGTTAGGAAATGGACTTAGACCAAATTCCACTGTGTGGCTGGACAAGGCACTGCCACCAGCAACCTGGAGCATGTCTGAAATTAACTGTATTGTCAAGCCTCTCACACCACTGATTCACGGTGAGAAAGCAGATTTGCCTCGTAACACACAGAAATTACTTCTGTGCCTCAGAATAGCAATTCTTTTTCCCACATGACCATGGTTGGTTGTTTCTGTAGATCTCAGAAGAAAGACCTGTGCCTGCTAAATGATGCTCAGTAGGTTCTCAGTACGCATGTGAGAAGTTGTAGGAGTTTGGGGGTTTTTATTTAAATGTAGATTCATACCAACCTGGTTCCCAGGCGGCGAGTCCTCAGCCCCATGAACACCGAACGGATCAGTTTTCCGAAGGAAGCGGCATTCACTGGATCCAGTTTGTGCTCCTGGCAGTGCCGCAGGTAATGGTTATAGAGAGAGCTCCTGGGAAGGCTGACACCTTCCGCTGTCTCATAGTTGTCCAACAACCACTGGAGCTTTATGTATGGAAAACATAAATAAATAAAGAAGACATGAAAGTCTAAAGAAGGCTGGAATGGGCTGCATCAAACAGTGTCAAGGCTTAAATGTCAGGAGATCCCATCTGACATTAAGAGTTCAAGAGAACTTAATGCTGGGTAGTTAATTTATGTAAGTTTTATAACTTATGCTAGTTGCATTTTTATGAAAGTAAAAGGACCCCCAGCCCAAAGCTAATAACCCAAACAAAAATGCTGTCAGATTTTGCAAGAACATTAAAACATAATCCGCCTGCCATCTCAGTGTCCGCCTTGGATTTGGATGAATTCCTGCAGAGCCAAAATAAAGCTGTAAGAACTCATGTTTTCCAAGAATAAAAACGTTAAGATATTGCCTAAGAGGAATAAATTTTAGGGGAACCAAATATGCTGCAAAGTCTTTATTAATTTGAAGATTGGCATGTCTGCAACTGTTCCCTTAACAATAAAATTAACAGTTACCAAAGCAACCTTAAAAATCTGAGGTGGTCCATCTATTTTTCAAAATTTACTGTCTGAACTTCTTCTGACATTTGTTGATTAAAGTTTGCAATCTATATAAATCATTTATACCCAGCTGGTCTGAAAGGGCAGGCCTGGAGCACAATGTCAACACAGGAATTAAAATGCGAAAACCCCAAAACCCCAATCTCCTTTAATTGGCTAAATGACTTCAACATCAATAAAAGAAAGTGCTAGATTAAGTGAATTTTTGAAGGAACTAGATGTACAAATGGACTAAAATCAATAGCTTTGGTAAAAGCCCTTTCAGTGTCGTTAGGGACGTTTGGGATTAACATTTTCAAGACTTCCCTCTCCTTCCAGACCTCCATCCCTGCGGGCACAGGAGGCACAGCTCCACCACCAGCAGCTGCATTCGCACCAGATCAGTGGCAAAACGGACTCAGGTTACGGATGCCAAAATATTAGCCGCGTCATCTCCTTACAACAAATAGTTCAAGCACATATTGTAATTAAGCACAAACCTAGTCTAGAAGTCAATGGGATTTAACCATGCGCATGGATGTACAAGTTGGCCCATGCTTAGGTCCTCTCCACTCATACTCCCATATCTGGCTTTTTTCTACCATTTTCTCTTGCTGAAACCTTGGGGTCCCAATTCACCACTATTCTCGAGTTTTATATCCATAACTCTGTGAAAATACAACCTGAAATGCACAATGACATCTCTGACACCTCACTCCACTGAGTTATTTTCAGTTTATGTATTTCATACCCCACTTTGCTCTCACACAAAGGTTTTTCAGCACCTATGAATGTATGTTCTGTGGTTATCATTCACATACCCAAATTTAAACTTCTGCTACATCAAATAAGCTGAATCCAAAGCTGTACAGTTGAAACTATTTCATTCGTTAGTTGGGTTTGACCCATCAGTTTTGGTGGCCTTTGGAGCAGACCAGGGGCTGCCACAGCTGGAAGAAGAAAAACCCCTTGGCCATTTTCCCTTCTGTCCTGCTTTTCACAGAGCTGCTTGTCACCTTCCCACCTTCCTCCACTTACACATCATCCAAGACACTCTTTGATGTGTTCTTCCACAGACAAAGATCTTTCTGACCTCCAAACCCTACAGTCCTAAGAGGTGGTGTTTGCTAATGATCCGCGTCCCTTCATGCTCTCGTCTGCAGAAGAGACATCCCTGGGAAGCCCCAAAAAGCTGTTCCGTAGCCCTGAGCCTCCCCCACCCCTTAAGCCATCTCTAACAAAAGTGGACCCCAGAGTTTTTGATATAAAAGACCAGCTGGAGCTCAATTTTTAATTAGCCCACATCTATGCTAATTTTGGCCCATCCCCTGTATTTAAATGATTAATGATTAAGAAGGTTTTTTTTTTTTTTTTTTTTACCATTTATTTTATTTATCCTATGGAAGATACTGAATGTGGATCAGCTATTTATTTTCTAAACATGTTCTAATTCCAAGCCTTAAAAAAAAAAAAAAAAAGTTGCATGTTACTATGGAAAATTCAGATATAGGTAAAACCCTCTCATTTAAATTTGATCCTAGACATTTTTAGTCTAATCCCCGATATTTCTAGAATATTCCCTTCGTCTTCCAGCTTTCTTTTTCTGCAAGTGTCTTTTTATACTCCTTTACACATTACAGAGTTTCACAATATGAACTCCCACGATTGAATTAGAAACCTATTATGAAACGCACAAAAGAGCTTAAAAAAAGAAATGTCAGAATGTAAATAATTTTCAAAACATGATTTTTGCTCTTCCTGCATTAGTAGTAGCAGACCGGGCACTTAAAATGAGAACATTAAAGATTCTTTCCATTTGTGTCCCTTATTCTGTTTACTTTTTGAATTTTGCTCAGTTGTGACAATGACAAGATATTCTACAGTTTCATTTCTGTTTATACTACAGTCAGGTTTCAATAAAATCACTATGCAGCCATATGCTGCTTTGTTTGTTATAGGCACTACAGGGGAACATTGCGATTTCATTTCTACTTTAACTTTATTTCTATTGACTGTTTGTTTTGTTTTTAAAAAAAATAATCTTCAGCAAAAACCTTGTCCTTGTTCAATTCAAGGATGGCTCTTTAAGGATGGAAAAAGTGATACATGGGCCTGTCTGAGACAAGAAAAAACCTTTTTTTTCTGAAGGTCCAGGTTTGGAAAGGTTTTCTTATGGGCACTTCTATGAAAAAGAAACCACTGAGGACACACATTTATGGTTCGTATTTAAGGTGGTTTTATCTGAGACTAAGAGGAGCAGGTTCCTAGGTCCCCGCTTAGTCCAGCTCAGAGTTAGGACAGACCATGGACCACCCGTGTGCCTGCCGAGCACCCCGAGCTCAGCGATGGGGAGAAACGCTTCCCCCGCACCAGGAGTTCCCTGCTCGACCCCACCAATCTTTTGCAATTAAAGTTTCATCAAAAACTGTATATTGTCTTGGAAAGTCTCTTTTCCAGAACAAGTGCCTGTCAGCTCTGGTCCCTTGCATAGTTAAACCCCCAGCTATCCATGTACATGAGCACAAGCTCTAGCATCCCCCGAGCAGGAGATTCATCCTTCATTAGGTCATTACATTCCGCCCCCGGGTAAGGGAGAGTTATTCCCTTTAACAGTTTTCCTACTTCTCTGTTCACTCTCATTTTAGGTGTTTCCACCTAATCACCATTTGGGGATAAGATCTTTTCCTCAGGGGAAAAAGTCCATCAGCACCTACCTAAGAGCCATTCACCCACAGGGAAGAAGTCCAATGTTTTTGGGGGTGTTTATTTTGGGGTGGGTTTTTTTTGTTTTTTTGTTTTACAGGCAGTGAGGAAAAAATGCATTTTCCTCCTGTTCCTATGAGTGCTATGGATATCTAGGAGCCGCAGGGCCTCAGGCAGGTTAGAGCATCCAACTGCTTCCTCAGGTGCCAGCTTTAGGCACTCATGTACAAAAATTGTAGCCATTTTTCTCAATTTCTTTGCATCATCTGCCAGCTCATAATTGGCAAAGAAGTAATCCTCTGACCCAGTGACTCTGGAGTACACTTGTGAGCAGAGGTTTTTCAGTAACAGTAATAGATTGACATGATTTCATTAGAAACATCATGTGTCACTGGGGTATTAACATTAGCTTAGGCTTCCAGATTTGATATTTCAAGTGCACTTAAATAACCTCTCAGAGAGTTTTTGAAGCACAATTATGTTATCAAGTGTGGCTCCATTTCACATTGACTTTGTTTAAACAGCATTATGAAAAAAAAATCTCTCTTGAGTGAGATACATTTCATTTTCTTTTTTTTCTTTTTAAAAAAAAAAACCCAAAGATTCCTGGCATGTAACCTCTGCTGATGGCACAAGATAAACCATTACGCTAAGAATTTACAGATTTGCAAAATGGGAAATTTAAAATGAGGGACAGAACACTTAATGAAAAAATCTGCAACCTTAAGACTAAAAGCAATTAAGTCACAACTAAGAGCACAATTAGCATTACCTCACAACTTCCTCTGCTACTAGCTTTTGTCAAGCTCATATTTTGCTTTCAGCCTTGAAAAATCACAGTCACCTGCTGCTTCACCTTCTGGTTCTCATGTACAAGCGTGACAATATCGTGTGTCAGTCACACAAGCATTTGGGATAGGTAATCCTCTGTCTGTTTTTTTGTTTTGTTTTTTTTAACATAAAGAGGTGGGACTGGGACCTGAAACATCCCGGACAGCAGAAACCCTTGTAACACAGCATGTGCCAGGGAAGACGTGCAGAGAGGCTCAGTGCTGCACCCTCATCGGGCTGTCCCATACACTGTGGTTGGGAGCAACCTCTGGCAGCCTCCAGTCCCCAGGTGGTTGATGCCCCATCCCTGGAAACATTCAAGGTCAGGTTGGACGGGGCTCTGAGCAACCTGCTCTAGTTGAAGGTGTCCCTGCTCATGGCAGGGGAGTTGGACTAGGTGACCTTGAAAGGTCCCTTCCCACCCAAACCATTTGATGATGATTCTGTGATTCCAGTCCAGCCCCCTACTCAATTCAGGGCTCAATTCCAAGGGAGGTCAGGTCCCTCAGTCCAGTCAAAAGGCTCATTCAGTTGAGTCCTGAGAACCAACGCAGGCAGAGGCTGCACAACCTCCCCAGGCAACAGAACCGACCTTCCTCCAGCTCTGGAAAGAAATCGCCTGATCCAGTTCTGCAATGTGCTGCGTTTCCTACAGGCACTGCTTGTACCATCGCCTCCTTGTTATTCCCACATGTCTGCAGACATCGCTCCGTGCTCCAGAAAGGCAGAGCAAGGACACTGGAGGTTCACGGGGCAGCAAGGGCCCCACACATTTCCTCGGCTCAGGCAATTACCCACCCCAGCCCGGGAGCTGCCCAGGGCAGCATGTTGCTTGTGCGTGGACCCACATCTTCAGCAGGGAGGAGCAGAGAGCTGATGTGTACACACATGCTCAGGAAGTAGTTTATTTCCTTTAGAATTTGTAAGAGAACTTAAGCCTTCTGCCAAACTATGAACTG